CATTAGCACCTCTAGTAATATATTTACTGAGAAAAATGGTGACGCGTTCAATACTTATTTTACCCACTGTAACTAAGTTCAGTAAAGCCAACATTTCATTTCTTTAGGGTCTGCAAACACGGCCTACATCAGCTGACAAAACATCATTTGTGTGCTTCCCTCTTTGACACACAGGTTCTCGCTTCCACCTCCTAAATCTTTATTTAGACGTAAGCGCATGCTTCCTTTCTCTGCCTGCAGCTGATACCCATCTGATGATCGGCCCCRGTGATAAACGCCAACACTCACAGCGGATACATGGTCCCGCTGCAGTCTGCAAGGAGCCAGGCTGTCACCTCTGTGCGACGAGCCCCCGGTCTATTGCATTACCGAGGAGAGGCTGGGGCTTCTCGCAGCTCTCCGCGAAGCCACAAACTCTGCATTCTGTTCAACAACAAAACCTCAGGAAGGCTTGGATAGCCTGTAGGAAATAGCAGCAGCGCTAGCTCACACCGAAGTGAAATAGCAGTTCGGCACATTCTGTCGATTCGAAGCCAACACTGTGGACAGACAGCTCAACTCTGTCGGCTAAAAAAAGTAACAAGGAGAGGGAAGAAAAAAAAGTGAGGAATGACATAGTGGAAAACACTGAGCTATGTCTGTTTTGTCTCATGTGTCTTCCTGCTTTCTTCTAAAAAAATAATAAAAAAAAAAGATTACTTGGCCTCACTGCTCACTCACTAACTTCCAACATATTTTCCAAACGACACAAAACACTTTCAGTATGGATTTTTTTGGGCACTCCGAGGGAGGAAAAAGGAGGGTGAGGAGGGTGGGTGGGTGGTGGGGGTCCACATAGTCGAGCTTCCTCAGCCGAAGGAGGCGTTTGTCATAATCACCGCAGCTATCCGTTTGTTTACGTGGGCCTGGTAGGGCGGGCTGCCCTGGGAGCTCTGTCAGCGAGGGCTTGGCCGTGTATGGAGCTGAGCAGAGGAAATGGCCTCAGCCGACGCGCGGTTGGCTAGCAGCGCCGCGATCCACGCAGTCAACGTCAACAAACTGCACATATATGGCAGGGGCYCCGAAACGAGGCAATCAAGGGTTTTAGCTGGAAGTTTTTTTCTGACTTCCTTTCTAGTGAAGAAATGACGTGAGCGCGCACCAGAGCCAAATTTACAATTTTTTTGCACAACTATTTTAATAAAGAGTAAAAACAGCTGACTTAACAACATAATATTTGCCTAATACTCCAAAGTGGGATTTTCATCACTGGCTGCCACGAAATGCAAGCAATCATGTRACGTCTGCACGTCTGTTAGCAAAATATCTCATGACACATTGGACTTATTTTAATAAACTTCTCAGAAACAAATCAACAAATATGTAACTACAACTGTTTAACTTTTGAATTGAATCTGAATCAAGATGGCCGCCACAGCTCATCAACCTTAGCCGACACAAAAATAGCTAAAAATGAGTCAGTTTTACAGATATTGAGCTAAAATTTGACGTGGTAGTAGCWGAGAGTTGTTCACAACTTGTATTCTGAGCACTGCATATTATGCTACGTGTTTGCTTGAAACTTTGTAATTAACCTTCTGTTAGCAAAATAACTTATTAACCACCAGGTGGATTTTAAATTAAACTCTCAAACGGTAATCTTTTAGTGTGCCGTTAAGACTGATTAATGTTAAGAATTAAAAATGACCAACACAGGTAATCAACTTAGCCAACACAAAAAATCTTCCTCAGTTTTATATATGTATTTATTTAAAACTTTGTGTAGTATTAGCTGAGAGTCATCCTCAACACATTCTCTGAGTGATAATGGATTGTGTGATATGTCTTAATGTTTTCCTAATTGCTAGACACTTTGTTATTTTTATGTCTGTACAGACATA